GTCGCGGGTGTCTGGAAGCCCCCCCCTCTCTTTTTCCTTCCCTCCCTCCCTCCCTCCTTCCCTCCCTCCTCCTCCTCCTCTTCCTCCTCCTCCTCTTCCTCCTCCTCCTCCTCTTCCGCCTCATCCTGCTGCTGCCCCTCCTCCTCCTCCTCCTGAGCTCCGATGTGGCGGCATGCGTTACTGTGCCGTGATAGAAGATTGCCCCACTTTAAGCTACATGGGATGGCTGCTCGAAAACGGCAAACCGCGTGGGACATCTGCACAATAGTGGTCGTTTTGACGGTTCGAGCTCGGTTCGAAGAGATAGAATCCGGGTCGAAACAAAAGCAACATTAGCGTTTCGCGTGGGTCTTCCCTCAATACAAAGTTTCAGACCCGGTTCAGAACAATGGGATGGCGATTCAAAAACGGCAAACCGCTTGGAACTTCCTCGCCATAATTGCTTTCTCGACGGTCCCAAAGCGGTTCCCAACAATAAAAGCTGCTTCCAAACACTTGGAAAACAAGCGATTCGTTCGAGACTTCCTTGATCGGAGCCTGGTTCCAAAGATTGAGATGCTGCTCCCAAACGCCAAACCGCGTGAGATGTCCTCGCCAAAACGGTTTCTTGACTGTTCCAAAGCGGTTGCAAATAATGGAAGTCGGTTCCGAACCATCGGAAAACGAGCATTTCGCTCGAGACTTCCTTGAAAATGCGCTTAGAAATTGGTTCCGAAGTAGGTCCCCGACAAAAGAGTCGCGCCGGATATCCCCCCGCAGAATGGCGTGCGGCGCCCCGTTCCAAGCAACGACGGCCGCGACGACGACGACGACGACGACGACGACGACGACGACGACGACGACCACGACGAGATACGCTCTCGCCTCGCCGCTGGCCACGCTTGGCCGTGTCTCGGTCTGGCCGACCGCTCTCCCTTCGGCTAGGAAGCGCTCCGCCAGGGCGGGCCTTCCCCCGCTGGCGTTGTGGAAGTCGATTAATGGAGAGGAAGCGTGCTGCCAAATAATTTCCAGATTTCAAAAAAAAGTTTCAAACATATTTTAAAGATGTAAAAACATGTTTGAAACATGTTTAGAACATGTGAACGCATTCTTAATTCAATGATAGGATTGTTAGAGTGTCCATCGTCATGGCATCCACAACGCTGGCGGGAGGAGGGCGTGCTGGGGGAGACAACGCCACCCTCCCCCGGGGGGACATGTTGCAACAGCTTGCTTGCATCCCCAAGCGCAAAATTGCCCCTCGGGGCTACTATTTGCTTGTGTCGCTTGTTCGGTCCCGGTTCCTTGTGGAGACAGTATGCTTCGAATCAGTTTTCCAGCCTCCGGCTGTTTTGCCGAGTGGAGTTTTTTTGTTCACCCTGGCTCCGAGGCCCAATCCAGCAGTCTAAATACGGCCTTCCAGCAGTAAATGCGCGCGTGGTCGCAACAGTCTCGACTCCTATCGCAAATCCAATGCAAACCCGTCCAGATTGTCCTTGCTGCAGCTTTTGGGACAAGTTGGAGGGAGGAGTGGAAGGGAGAAGTTTGCATCGATCAATTTTCAGGGCTTGTTGACATTGTTGTGCTCTGCGTACTTGAGCTGCTCGTCAGCAGTGGTGTTCACTGGCGATGTGGCGTCCACAGGCAGCTCGGCTCTCACAGTCACGGTGGTGCTCAGGCGTTGCTGGATTCAGGCAGCATTGATCCGGCTACGAGCCCTAATCCAGCAGTCGAAATACGACCTTCTAGCAGTAAACGCGCGTGGTCGCGTCAGTCTCGATTCCCATCGCACATGCAATGCAAATTCGTCCAGATTGTCCTTGCTGCAGCTTTTGGGACAAGTTGGAGGGAGGAAGGGTGGAAGGATGAGGGAGGAACTTGCGTGGACCAGCTTTCGTCGGGGCTTATCGATCTTGTTGGGCTCTGCGTGCCTGGTGTTCACTGGGAGTGTGGCGTTCACAGGCGGCAGTGTTGCTAAGGCGTTGCCGGACTCAACCAGTACTGATCTGGCTCTGGCCGAATCCAAGATGTAAACAACGACTCTCTTGGAAGAAATGCGCGCGTGGTCGCATCAGTTTCGATTCCTATCGCAAATCCAATGCGACTTCGTGCAGTTGATCCTCGCTGCAGCTTTTGGGATAAGTTGGAGGAAGGAGGGGTTGAAGGATGAGGTAGGCGCTTGCATGGATCAGCTTTCAGGGCTTATCGATATTGTTGGGCTCTACGTACTTGAGCTGCTTGTCAGTAGTGGTGCTCACTGGCGATGTGGTTCCCACAGGCATCTATCTGGGTGTTCCTAGTCACTGTGGTGCTCAGGCGCTGCTGGGCCCAAGTGGCACTGATTGCATTTCGATACGACCAGCCCCGCATCACAACGGCAATGATGGAAGGTCATCCTCATGCCACAGCGGCATTCGAATGCTTCCTAGCCGCTATTCTGTCAAAAAAGGGCCCACATTTAATCACGCCTATGTATGAATCTCAGGAAACATGAAGGAATTAGAAGTGGAAGAGCGAGAGAAGGATTTCTCTTGCCCGTCTCACTGCTGCAACTCGGGCAGGAGTGCATAGCGTCGTTACGCCTGTTTTCTGGCGTGCTACTCGCGGCGCCTGCCGGCACGTGGGGTACCCAAGTACCACGCATGCTTTATCGTGGTACTCGCCTGTGTGTGAGCCTTGATGTGGGCGAATATGAGCGTGAGTGATTTGAGTGTGAGTGAATCTGAGTGTGAGTAAATCCGGGTATGATTGAGCCTGAGACTGAGTGGGGTTGAGTAGAATTAGTTAGAATTTGAGTGGGTCTGAGCATGCTTGAGTTTGAATGTGAGTGAGTCTGAATGCGAGTGGGATTGGGTGTGGTCGCCTGGGTGTGAATGATCCTGAGTGTGAGCATGATGAAAACCAGTCTGAGTATGAGTGAGACTGAAAGCGATGGAGCCTGCGTATGAGTGAGTCTGAGGGAGGGTGAGTCCGAGTTTGAGTGCGTCTGAGTGTTGGTAAACCTGGGCGTGAGTGATCTGAGTTTGGGTAAGTCTGAGTATGAGTGAGTCTAAATAGGAGTGCGTTTGAGATAGTTCGAGTACGAATAAATATGAGTACTGGTGAGCCTGAATGTGCTGAGTGGGTCTGAGTGGGGAAGAAGTGTTCCCGAGTAGATAGGAATTCGAATGCGTGCGTCAGAGTGAGGAAGGAGGAGCACGAAGAGGACGAGGTGAGCGAGTGAGTAAGGAGCACGCAAGTCCAAAAAGAAACTTGGGGGGCATAGACAGGGAAACCGCCTGAGACATCCCCGCGATCTGGGCGCGACTCCTGGAGTGTCCCCACCCTGGCGGCTTCCTCACAGGATTACTGACGCCAGCGCCTCCCCGCAGACATCCTTGCAGTCCGTTCCGCAAGCCGACGCCGTTGGGCAGCCGAGCAGGCAACCCGCTTGAGACATCCCCACAATCTGGGCGCGAATCCCGGAGTTTCCCCACCCCTGGCGGCTCGCCTTTGGGCGTGCTGAGGCCAGTGCCTCGTCCGAAATGTCCACACGAACTGCTGCCTGGCCTGCACAGCCTGGCCTGTGCCGCGGGGCGTCCGAAGGCAGAGGACGCTGGGCACCCAAGCCAGGAAACTGCCTGAGACGTCCCCCTCCTCCTCCTCCTCCTCCTCCTCCTCCTCCTCCTCCTCCTCCTCCTCCTCCTCCTACCGCGGAGGGCCCAGAGCTGGGCGCGGATCCTGGAGTGTCCCCATCCTGGTGGCTCCCCCTTTGGGGGTGCTGATGCCAGCGCCTCGCCTGAGACATCCTGACAAACTGCTCCCAGAGCAGACTATACACTGGGCACCCGAACAGGCCAACCGCTTGAAACGTCCCCACAATCTGGGCGCGAATCCTGGAGCGTTCCCACCCAGGCGGCTTCCTCGTAAGATTGCTGAAGCCAGCGCCTCGCCTGAGACATCCTGACAAGCTGCTCCCAAAGCAGACGATACTGGGCACCCGAACAGGCCAACCGCTGGAAACGTCCCCACAATCTAGGCGCGAATCCCGGAGTGTTCCCACCCTGGCGGCTTCCTCGTAGGATTGCTGAAGCCAGCGCCTCGCCTGAGACATCCTGACAAGCAGCTCCCAACGCAGACGATATTGGGCACCCGAACGGGCCAACCGCTGGAAACGTCCCCACAATCTAGGCGCGAATCCCGGAGTGTTCCCACCCCTAGCGGCTCCCCCTTGGGGTGCCCAAGCGCCACGCTTGCTATAGCGCGGTGAGCAGTGGACCAAGTGAGTCTGAGCATGTCTAGTCTGACTGCGGGCGAGTTTGGGTGAGTCTGAGTGTGAGTGGTTTGGGGTAAGAACGAGTATGGATATGGATGGATCTGACTGTCTGGATGCAAGTGTGTCTGAATGTGAGGGAGTCGGAATATGAGTGATTTTGAGGATGAGTGGGTGAGTATGATGATGAGCAGGAGGAGGTGAGGTGCGAGGGAGGAGGTCCAGAGGCGTTTGAGTTATAACAAGAGTCCCATCTTTGGATATGGGGAAACACGAATAGGAAATGTGGGATGCTTATTTTGGCGCCTTCTTACCTCCGATGGTCGGCTGAGGCTCCCAGATCGCCCCCAAGAGGCCCCAAGACGCCCCCACAAAGCGCGTAATAGTCCCCGCGAAGCCCCAACAAAGTCCCAAGGGGGACCCGAAATCGCCCCGAGAGGAGCTGGACAGCTGTCAAGGCAGGCCAAGAGGGCCTCCAACCGCACCCAAAATGGTTCCGACGGATCTCCAACGCCTCCCGAGGCGTCCACAGCGACCCCAGGGGCGTCCAACATGCCCCAATGCCGCCCCAAAGGAACCTTCCAGAGGGCCCCCGTGAGCAAACATCGCTTCGTTCCCTGAGGACAACGTACACTGTTTATACGGCTCTGTTGTTTTCATAACGACCTCCTCGTCTTCTTCTTTCTTTGCCTTGCCAGCCTTGCGCGGCGCTCTGTGGCGACGACGGACGACGGACGACGACCACGCCGCCGCCGCCGCCGACGACGAC